AAAGCAAGCTGCCAGATTTGGGACTTAAACTGCAGTCAGCCATGTGGGAGTCCAGCACCTTAACTACCACACCGCCTGCTGTCCCCTAGATTCTTTTATTTATTTTCTTTATTTTTGAATTTTATTTATTATTTTTTAAACTTGCTATAGGGCACATATGCTCACCAGGGGGAGACAGAGAGAGAGAGAGAGAGAAAGGGAAAGGGAGAAACCAAGACACCAGGTCCGGGACTCGAAACGTAGTTGACCATGTAGGAGTCCAGCAACTTAACCACCATGCCACCTGCTGGTCCCAACTGCAGTCTTTATTATCTTGTGGTTGAGGAATGAGGTGGTCTAGGCAATTAGATATTCCAGCTACTAATAATTATTGCTAATATTTTTTTTGGAGAGTTTTTTTGTTTTTTGGTTTTTTGTTTTTTTTTGTTATAGGGCGCGTGTGCTCGCCAGACAGACAGAGAGAGACATAGAAACAGAAAGCGAGAAATCACCCCCCAGGGGGGATGGTCACGCTGCAATCTCTTCTCCTCCATTCTCCTCTGGGGATCTTGGGCACGCACGCACACGCACACAGCGTGAGTTTTAAGCCACTGGGTCCGGGACGCAAACCGCGGTCAACTACGTGGGAGTCCAGCGACATAGCCATTACGCTAACTGCTGGTTCCGCATTATTGCTAATATATTAACAATTTTCAAGAAATAACTATTCTGTCAATAGTATGCACTGGTGGGATACGATAAACTATAAGAATTAAGTAAATCCCAAAATATACTGTTTTGTAGAAAAAAATATCAGGAAAGGTTGTACATGAGCAGAGGCCACTACGAATTTATTTTCAGAATTAACCATATGGATACAGTGCCTGTATGACTTCTGGGAACAGCTCCAAGTATTGCATTCTGAGACAGCTCCACATACAGAAAACTTAATTTATATAAAAAATTAAGTTCAAAAGATCTTCATAAATCTTAAAACTACATTATAATATTAAGTAATCTATATCCAAATTTACTACTCTATTAGATCACTCAGTTGCTAAATATCACTTCCTTTTTTCAGTCGTGCAATTCACCATTAAGTAACAGTAAACTCACCCACACCCAACCATGTTCATGGAAAAAGCTAAATATCATTTTTTCAGGTCAGAGAGGGGCAAGTTAGGGCATAACCAATGAGTCATCTATTTTCTTCCCAAGAGATGTCAGAGCATAACTCACAGATGTTCGTGTTGCTTATTAAGAAAAAAAAATATTGTGCCATCTAAACATCTCCTGAGAATAGATAATGTGTTTGCATTGGCTGAAAACAACCAGTGCACACTGTTGACAGGATATTCTAGATTGAGTTATTGAAGGTCAACCGAACTATCTGATCATCCGAACTATCTGATCATCCTGATTTCTAATTTTGGGCTCCACATCACCCCCAACCTCACACTCAGACAGTTGTGTTGTCAACTTCCTGCTGCATTCATCACTAGGTGTTTCGTTCTGCTGAGGCAAAGGTGTCCATGGCTTTATTAAGATCAAAGGCAATGGCAAGTCTGAATATGTCCAACTCACAAAGAAAATAGGTTGTCAAATAGCCTTTAAGAATAAGAAGTTTGGGGGCAGCCAGTGCTGTAGAGGTGAAGGCACTGGATCCCACATGACTACCTACAGGGTTCAAGTCCAAATCCAGCAGCTTGAAAATCATGCCAGGCACATGTACATGTGTTCTCAAAATCCCAAGAGGAGAAAGGAGAAGGGACTGT